CGTAGTGCGCTGCACATTTATCGGATCACTCGGGATGTGGATGGACCTATAATCTACGCCAGATTCATTTTCGAAATATCGAAGGAATACTATCAGATTACTCTCTTCGTGTAGCGTTGAAAAAGAGCTGACATTTTTGAAAGCGCCCTTTTTCTAGCGTATTCCGTCCGACACAGTCGCGTGTTTTTAGAAATTTTAAAAACTCCCACATTCTAATTCCACGACCAATGTGTTGTTTGTCTATAATCGATAAATTTATCTTATGCATTTATCATCCCGCCGGCTACATAACACGGGATTTCAACGTGACGGCCGAAGCGTTACACCGAAGCGCCGATCGATTTAATCGCACGACGAAATACGTTTAACGCGTTATCAAATAATCAGATCTCGTAGAACGACGGTCGAGCGGATTAACTGCGTATATTATTCGCGTTTCCACGAGAGACAGGTACGTGGGTGACCCTTTGGGTGCGGGCCCGAGATAAATAATCGTTCTCCGTTCCGTGAAGTTTCACGAGTGTACACTCGGTATATACCTGCCCGGAGTACTCCAGGTACTTACAGGCCGTATTTAATTTAGTGTATGAATTTTATGCGCGCCGAACACCCCCTCCCCTCCCCCCCCCGTGTTATACGTGTTGTAAATCAGCCCAGCCGACATTCTCTCTATCGCGTGTAACGCGAACACGCGAGGGTCACCGCCCGTACAGCCTCTCTTCAACCTCCACTCCTATCCACCCTCCGGCCCTCCTGGCACGATGTGCAAACTCCATTATAGGAATTTTCCCTCCGTACGCGAAGGCTGCAGCAAATATTTTACGATCGATCGGCGCTAAAGGGAGAGAAGCCAGGGCTCCGTAGGGCGACCGAGGCAAATCGGAGCGGATGCCGCTTGCCTGCTTGCGTTACGATAGGTCAGCGTTGAAATTCAAAGCGGCCTTTCAAAGAACCCATTGGCCGAACACAAAGTGACATAAATCGCGCTTAATGCGGTGTGACCGCGCGTTTAATGCGCGAACAAGGTTATCGCGATAGTTACACTCTCTCTTGGAGAAGACTTGCACTTAACAAAAATTCCCCGCTAATTATTTACCTGTCGAATGGCATACACTTTTCAATTTTCCTGCGAGCTCCTTACTCCATTTGAAGTAGTATCGACTGAGGAATACACCAGTGGATTTCGTGTATTTCACTCACGTGACACATCGCCTTGCTTCTGTAAGATTTATTTTCTGACGAAAACGGATCGCTAACGACGTTATTTATTTTTTATGATTTATAGTACAAATTTCTTTCAAAACGGAGAGGAGCGTGATGATGAGGTGGGAGAGACTGCATCACTGGTGAAGTCGAGATTAATAGCGTTTCTCGTTCGGTTACACTGACGTGAATTTATGATGCTACTAATGCAGTTACCTCGCTTTAAAGTAATGATTTTTGAAACCGGAAGCAAACCGCTTCCTCGCGTCGTAGTGAGAAATCGGCTTGGAAAAATAACAGGGACAGGTGCGTTACGCGTAATTCACGGAATGTTAAGTACAGAATCTCATTAGTAGTAAGCGGCTTATTTATTTTGCCTTAAGTGCAAAAATTGTCGAGAGACACACGCGACAGCTATGCTATCTTCCGAGGCATTTTTTAAGTAACGTTGCATCTTCTCAAACTTCATATTTTCATAATTTTCTCGATTTTTGCGAAACATCCTCGAATAATTATCGCGTATATCGCGCGCGTGTCACTATTTAATCAATTTACAAAATAGTGATAATATCACGGAACAATTTTGAAACTCTAAGCGATCTATTAAAGCGCTTATCGACAAATCCATCACTGATTCTGCTTAATACAAGCAGATTTAACCCATTAAAGCCTATAATACTCTGAAACTTGTTGACGAAGCTACGTTCTCTCCTGACTTGGTCTAATACTCCAAATTCACGTGCTGTTATATAGCAATAATTATATATTTTTTAGATTATACAGTACACAAAGCTATGATATTTCAGCGCAACTAATAATTGAAATAATAATAATGCTATCCTCTACCGGCAACTGAATTTTAACTCTTCTATCAGCAAGGAGTCTTCGAGAAAAAGCAGCAAATTTTTATAGTTTTGAATTACATAAAGAAATGAAAAAAAATTCGGATATACTTGTGTCAAAGTTTTAACAATGAGTTTTTACTGTTTATATATATAAACTGTATTTTTTATTTATTTTTTACAAATTTAAATTATCGGCACACAGTCACATATAAATTAATTTCATATACGCGAATGTCCGAAAACGTTTCGCGCGATCATATTTTAAATATTTCGATTCAACAAAGAATATATATATCGTATTATTTGAAACATCTTCGATCGTTCATTGCCGTTCTCTACGAAAATTCAAGTTTACCAAAATATCAATGATACTTCTAAAGACCTCCAGTTCCCGGCGAAGGATTAAGTTTACTGATAAAATCACCTCGATAGGAAAAATCGACTTTCGTCGATGTTGTAAAATTCATATCGGACAGCACGTTTCAACTGAGAAAGAGACTTTAAAAGAAAGAGAAACGCTTTAAAAGAAAATTTACCGAGTGACAAACGATCGTTACGTGGTGTGCCCTTCTGTCTCGTCTGAGCAGAGAGCCACGGAATATCAGTGAAATTGCTGGTATCTCCGCGAAACGGAGCGGCACCTTCGTATATTCGACGAGTTCCTCCTCCGGTTTGAGCGCGCTTTATACGATTGCGGAAACGAGGAGGAAAAGGTAAGAAGCGGATAGAAGATAAGTTATTGCTCGTCGAGGTATGCGGCTACGTATTTCCTTATACTTCCGCCTCGCGCCGGCATCTTCCTCTTCATTCCGGCGTCTATTGTCGGCCAGATTACCCGCTGAAGGGTGTTCGTGAACGCTGGCGGTATTGCGTCGTCCGTCTACATTTAAATCCCATCCATTTGCGGCCGGCAAATCTTATATAATCGCACTCTGCAAAATGTATCGCTCGACCTGACGCTTCTTCATTCATGAATGGCGTCTCCACGCGTATACGTTCACGCACAATCGCCATTCCGTACGCCGAAAGAAAAGATTGGCTGCTGCAGCAAGTTAAATGGTAAAATATGGCGCATAGCATTTTTAATTGGGTGCAGCAGCCAATCGAAATCCTATACTGACATTGAGGATAAGCTAACCACAACCAAAAATTGATTGTCGCAGCCAATTAAAAACGCTATGTATTTTACCATCTAATTTGCTGCAGCAGCCAATCTTTTCTTTCAGTGTAGAACAGGCTACACGAGATGTCCCAAAATCTGTCAAAAATCCTGATGTCTGCACTGAAAGAAAAGATTGGCTGAATATGGCGTAGCTTGTTTAAGCTTTGTAGCAGCCAATTTTTGGATAGCCTATCAATGTCAATGTAAGAGTTCGATAGGCTAACGCAACAAAAAAATTGACTACTGCAGTTAATTAAAAATGCTGTGCTATGTTTTACCATCTAATTTGCTGTAGCAGCCAGTCCTTTCTTTCAGTGTGTCAGGATGTAAAATTTGATATGCACTATGAAACCGATTTTTTTATTACTTTGTGTCGAACATCGTTTCTCCTAGCTTTTAATATTGAATCATATAGATTATAGATATTTTTTAATTAATGTTTGTATCGGGGCTTCATAAAAATCGACAGTCGATAATCGAAAGAAATAATTAGTGTGTCTAAGGCCTACATATTGCAAGAAATATTAGGAACACAAGAATAATTGTTAAAAATTAGGAACAGAGGATAGACCTAACGCACAAATAGATATGAATAAAATACTAGACATTTATATATTTTACATCTTATTTTTGTATTATGCGTTAGGTTTAATCTCTTCCTAACTTTTTTATTTTTAGTATTCAAGGTTACTTTTATTCAAGGATGATGCATTATACGTATTTATTAACAAAACGAAAAAATATAGATTTTTCTAAAATGTATTTGTGTGCGACTTTGAAAGTGATAGAAAGTTTGGCAGCGATTTAGAACTTGGAAAAAATTAGATTCAATAAGAAGTAGACGTGTTTTTTTTTTTTAAATCAACTAAGATTTCTATTCATTTTAATTATAAAAAAATTGTAGTGCCAAATATAAAAATTTTAACCTTAAATATTTTTATTCGGCAAAGTATCGGTCTCAAAATTTGAATAGATAGAAAATAGATTTTTTTTAATTATCTAGGCATTCTGGACCACACTCTACGTATCTTGCCAGACTTTTCTATCAGCATTTTGCGTATAAGTAAGATTAAGATGAATGAAATCCACCGAGGCCGCTACGCACCTTTCCGCGCAAAAACTTTGCTCAGAAATATATGATAATTTCACAAATGTATTAGATTATTCAACTGTTACGTATTTCTCGCGGATTCGGGCAGCGTTCTCTATTCTTATGAGTAAGAGGAAACGCTCGCAGACGGTACTTTAAAGTAAAGGGTCAATTCCACGCGTAACTCCCGCGTTCCTGACATTTCTCACAGTCTGGCACCGTCGAGCGTGAAATATTTTCTGCTCGGGAACACGGAAGACGCGTTCGACGGAGAGTGTCTACGCAATCGGCTTGTCTCCTCTGCCTATTTCGTCATATCTCTTACTTTCTCCACTTCCTCAGTATTTCTCATTATCCGACGGCGTTACTCGCGAGCGGTTCATCTCCGCGTAAAGTTTCCATTTCTGGACTTTATCTCTCGCGAGGCAAGAAATAACAATCGATCGGCTTTTATACGCGACGCTGCGTGTCCACTCTCGATTTCAAAAGACGCTCGGTGCGGAAGAAGGAGAGACGAAGGAGAGACGGAGGGGAGGGGGGGGGGGAGAGGGGGA